AGATTTTATGTGGCTTGTTGGTCGGTCATCAGAGAAGATGTGATGGAGGCGTTTGCCTCTCTTCAAAAATTGGACTTCCGTGGTCTAACCTCCATCAATCAGGCGTTCATCACATTGCTCCCCAAATCCCCCGCAGCCTTGGAGATTCGTGAGTTTCGGCCGGTCAGCTTGATTCATAGTTTCCCAAAATTGGCGGCCAAGGTGTTGGCGATGCGGCTCACGAACGAGATGTCGGATCTGGTCGGGCCTCACCAAAGCGCATTCATCAGGGGACGGTGGCTACATGACAACTGTATGATGGTGCAAGGGATGGCTAGAAAATTGCATGCGTCTAAGAAAGAAGCAGTGATGCTCAAACTCGACATCACTAAAGCCTTCAACACGGTGGATTGGGCTTTCCTGATGGACGTGCTGCGACATATGGGCTTCGGGGCCAAGTGGATTTCGTGGATCGCTGGACTACTCGCCTCCTCCTCTACTTGGGTGTTGCTGAACGGCGTACCAGGGGAGGTCATCTTCAATCAGCAAGGTTTGCGACAAGGAGACCCGGTCTCGCCGCTCTTATTCGTCCTTGTCATGGAGGCTCTTCACCATCTCCTGGGCTCGGCTACGACGGAGGGTGTGCTGCAACCCCTTGCGGCTGCTAGCTTCCGGCAACGCACCTCCATATATGCCAACGACATGGTCACTTTCATCAAACTGGACTTGCAAAGCCTCAGGGCGTGCTCTATGCTGCTACGTGACTTCGGGATGGCGTCTGGGCTGCGCACGAATCTGATCAAAAGCTCCGCCCACCCCATTAGATGCTCGGAGGAGCAAGTTCTGCAGATTGCCACCGAACTGGAATGTCAGGTCATGAGCTGGCCCTGCAGGTATCTTGGGCTCCCGCTTTCCTTGCGTAAGGTCTCGGCGGCCCAGTTACAGTACATGATAGATAAGATGGCCGATCGGTTGCCCGCCTGGCAGGCCAAACTCCTCTACCGCGCGGGCAGATAGGAGCTTTTGCGCTCTACGCTGGCCTTGATGCCAATACATGCTATGATGGTGATTGACTTGCCGGTTAAGACGATCACCGCGGCCAACAAGATCTGTCGAGGATTCCTATGGAAGGGACGGCGGGATGTGCAGGGAGGACACTATCTTGTGGCCTGGGACAGAGTGTGCGCGCCCAAGGACCTCGGGGGCCTCGGGGTGCCCAACCTAAGGTTGATGAATGCTGCATTGCGCGCCAGATGGCCGTGGCTCCAACGGATAGACCCCCTCAGACCCTGGGCTGAGTTCAACATGCAGGTTTCACATGAGTCCTTGGGCTTGTACAAGGCGACCACGAGATGCGCCCTTGGAGATGGTGAGTCTGTGCGCTTCTGGCCGAACTGGTGGCTGTGGGATGGAAGACTAGAGGACTTGACGCCCAATCTCTACGCCTTGGTGAGACGGTCTGGCCGGCTGAAAACTGTTCGGCAGGCAATGACAGAGGGCTGGTGGCACGATATTTCGCCGGACATGTCAGCGCAAGCGCTGCGTGAGTTCATGGTGCTTGTAGACAAGACGCAATATGTGGTCCTCAGGCAAGGCGCAGATGACAGGATCTACTGGGCCTGGGAGAGCTCGGGGCAGTTCCCTGTTAGGTCGGCTTACAGGGCTTTCTTCGCTGGCATGATCGAGGCTGACGGTGCCACCCAAATTTGGAAATCGAGAGCTCCAAATTCTTGCAAGTTCTTCGTATGGCTCGCGGCAAGGAATGGGTGTTGGACGGCGGATAGATTGGAAATAAGCAGGCTCCCTCACCCCTCAACATGCCCCTTCTGTGATCAGGAGCAGGAATCGATTGATCACTTGTTGCTTGGCTGCGTGTTAGCACGGCAAGTGTGGACCAGCATCACCAATGCTTGGGGCAGACCTGCCTGGATGCCAGGGCTAGATGCGACCTTGATGGAATGGTGGACCACCCTCAACCCACAGAAACACCTAAGGAAGGAGACATGGACGGTGGTAATGCTCGTGGCTTGGATGCTATGGAAGCACGGGAATGACATCGTGTTGAATGGGGCCTCGCCTTCCGCAGACGCCGTGCTTACGAGGATTGAGCTTGAGGGTCAGGATTGGAGGGCTGCTGGTTTGCTTAAGGAGAGGGGCTCTCTCCCTGGTTTGGTAGATAGGTTGGATAGTGGCGAGTGATCCGCATGTGGACACTTTTGATTGTGTAACCATGGCTTGTAACATTACCTTTGCCCATCTTGGGCCCTTCTATCTATGCTTCTGATGCGTCATTCTTTGGCGCATCCTTGAAAAAAAGAGTCAGCCACTATTTCATTTGAAAAATCTTGAAATGTTTGTGAAATAAAAATATCACGAATTATAAAATATGTTCATGTTTAAAAATACTTATTTATTTTATAAAGTGGTCTACAATTTTTTTAAATGACATGAATCAAAAAGATATTCATCAATATTTTTTAAAAATGGGCACCAATGATAGAAAAAGAACCAGCAAAGAAGACATTACTACTTTATGTCCACAAAACAATACAAAATGTGCAAGTTTACGTACATCCAAACGCTTCAGAACTCATTTCATGTTGCAGTCATAAAATTGGATAGTACACTTTGGATGAAAAAAGAATCAGTTCCAAAACAGGTAGCAAATCATTATGTTGAACAAAGAAAACGCCAACTAGTTCTTCAAATAATATATATTGCACTGTCCTTTTTGTTTCTCCGAAACAGTTCTTCATGCAGCCACGAAGCAAGGTTGACCAATCATTGTGAAACATTTCCTAATGTAGACGATATATATTTGATGTACTCTGTTTTGACGTTCTTCATCTTTAAAACTACCTCGCTCATAGTTATCCTATCTCCAGGTGAGTCACTGGAGCAAAGCAAACCAACCTCTAGTATTGGCACAAGAAAGCTAATGTCCATGCCAAAGCATTGCAGTAGCCGTCTATCCATGACATGAACAAGTTGACCTGCCTGAAACAATTGATTAACCCATCGTCTAAGGCTCGGTTCTCCAACAAACATAGCATCCGTTGGCCTCTTCCCAGTAAAGACTTCAAGGAGCATGATGCCGTAGCTGAACACATCGCTCTTTCGTGAAGCTTTCCCGTATGACCCATACTCTGTGCAAAAAGAAGGATAAATGCACATTCCAACTGAACTGGCCAATATTAGTTAATTGGTGGCTTAACAAGAATTTGATACATTGAGCAAGATAATAAGTACTAAGTACCTGGTGACATGTACCCAATAGTGTCATGCATGTTAATGGAGAACGCAGAGTTACCATCAGCTTGTAGTAGTCTTGCAATGCCAAAATCTGCCACATGCGCCATCATGTCCTCGTCAAATAACACATTGCTTGGCTTCAAGTCGCAGTGCAAGACGATTTCATGGTAACCATGGTGTAGATATTCCATTGCCATTGACACCTCAAGCATAACACACAGTCTCTCGCGGAACCCGAATTGTGTTTCGCCCTGTTGTGAGCAGTGAAGCAATGTCTCTAAATTGCCATTTGGCATGTATTGTAGCACCAACGCTCTGAAATTCATGTTAGAACATGTGGTGATTATCCGTATCAGGTTGCGATGCCACGCCATGCGGAGCACATGGCACTTGGCCTCAAAGCTTCTAATGGCACACGTGGACCGCATGTCAAAAACCTTTATTGCAACCATCAAACCATCGCTCAGTTGTCCCTTGAATACCTTTCCGTGGCCTCCATATCCCAACATGTAATCTTCACTGAAATTACCAGTGGCACGAACAAGCTCTAGGTGTGAGACTAACTGATGGCTTGCTGGAGCTGTCAGGTCATTGGAAGATTTGGTCTTGCCGTTGTCGACTTTATTTCTCCACGATATGAAGTACAATAAAATTAAAAAAATGACAAAAGCTAGCGTGACAGCTGAGAGTAGGATTATTAGAAGTGTTAGGAGGTTGTACTTATTACTGGAAGTGGTACTTACTACTGAAGCACTACCTTGGGGTTTCAAAAATGGTTGGCATCGAGGCAGAGGGAAGCCGCACAAGCCAGAGTTGTTTGCATATTGGCTCTCTGGGAAAGTGGCAAGGGATCCCATCTCCGGTATTGATCCATTCAGCCTATTGTATGATAGATCAATCTCCGACAACGATAGCAACGAAAATGAACTCGGGATTGGGCCTTCCAACTTGTTGTGTGACAGGTCAAGCATACCTAAATTCTTGGAACCTGCAAGCTCTGCTGGGATGGCACCAGAAAGTCGATTTTGCCGAAGATTCATGATTGCTACATAGTTCATCTTACCAAGTTCCTTGGGGATCTCGGAGTCAAGCTTGTTAAAGGACAGGTCCAAGAATATCATGGAGGCATTGCTTTTCAAAGTGTGCTCTCCGCTATCCAGGATGTATACCCGTGTGAAGTTGCACGTATTCTTGCTAGCCATCTGGTTTAGTTGCTCCAAACGGACGCCGCCGATCTCAAGCAAGCTCCCCGCGCCGCGACATTTGCTGCTCTGCTCGTCGTTGCGCAAGTATATATATGTGGCCGCGCTATCATGAAGCCGATAGCCACCTTCCCGGACTGCCTCGCCAGCTCCGGTGGTATCGATCCGCTTAGCTGGTTGTCGTTCAGATCGAGCCAAATTAAACTCTTGCAGTCTCCTAGCTCCAGCGGTATACGCCCTGAGAAGGAGTTGTTGTTGAGCTTCAAGATTGCAAGGTTGTCTAGCCGCCCCAGCCAAGCCGGCACCGACCCAGAGAGCCGGTTGCTCCCCAGCGCTATCCATTTCAGATTCTTGCAGTTCATCAATTCCGACGGGATGCTGCCAGTGAGCGTGTTGTACTCGAGGATGAGGTGCTCGAGTCCGCGAGCACCACCGAGCGACACCGGAATCTCGCCCTCCAATTTGTTCTCCCACAGGATGAGGTCACGGAGACGAGCAAGGCTGCCGACGGATGTGGGGATGGAGCCATTGATGTAGTTGAGACTGAGGTCTAGAGACTCGAGGCTTTCACAGTTGGAGATCTTCGCCGGGATGCCGCCGGTAAGGTAGTTGTTCTGCAGGTAGAGCACCTCGAGCTTGGACTAGCTTGGAGCCGGTGTTCGGGCAGAGTGAGGATGGTATAGCGCCGGAGAGCTCGTTCGAGCTGAAGTCCAACATCCTCAGATTGGCAAGCCGACCTAGAGAGTCGGGCATGGAGCCATGGAAGTGGTTGAGTGATAGAGTGAGCCACGAGAGCCGTGGGGAGCGACGCGAGCAGCGTGTGTCTGGCGGAAAAGCGCCCTTTAAGTGGTTGCTGGAGAGGTTGAGCGAAACAAGAGCAGTGCAGCCGGACAGGGCCCCGGGCAGCACCTCGCCGGAGATTAAATTTCCGGATAGATCAAGTGACTCCATCCTGGAACAGTTGGTGAATGCCGGGACCTGGAGTGGCCCGGAGATCGAGTTCCAGGCGAGGTTCAGCCGACGGACTCCCCCCATCCAGCTGAGATCGCCGTCGCCGGTGATGTTGTTGTCCGAGAGGTCAAGGACATCCAGGCGGGCAAAAATGTCCCCGCCATCTCCCTTCCCGCCGCCACCGCCAACGAGTGCGTTACCAGAAAGGTTCAACTCCCTCAGCCCGTCGCACGCGCCGGCGAGCACGCGGGCGTCAGCTACGGATCCTCTTAGTGCCCTGTTGCCGGACAGGTCCAGCTGAGCCAGCTTCTGGCCGCACCGCCAGACCACGGCGACCCCGCCGCTTGCGAGGGAGCCGCTCATGTTGGCGCCTCGCAGGCTGACGACCTCGACACCACCCAGCTGCAGCAGTGTGCCCGCGACGGCGCGGAAGTCGACGTCGAGTGGGACCCCCGAGAGGGAGAGCGACACGAGCCTCTTCCCTCCCCTGACGCACGCGGCACCAGGGAAACTGCACGCGCCGTCGCCACGGGTCCATCCCCCCAGCTCCCCACGGTTCCGTACCGCCGCCTTGAACCGCTCCAGCAGCTGTTCGTCGACGCCGTCGTCCGCGGCCACCAACACCGGATCATTAGCGAGCAGCAGTAGCAGCACCGCCAGTGCCAGGCACAGAGCAGTACCCATAGTAGCGCCGACGCCCAGTGCTCAGCTATATGAGAATGTTTACAGTAGTCCTTTTGGGTTTCTGGACCGGATGAGCTGCACTAAGTTAACACTTGTAGCAAGCAGTGCTAGTAGGTATGATTGTTAGTGCCGCCGGTTGGTGGCTCGTCGTGTTCTAGCTAGGGAGAATTATACGTATATATGCGCCATGATCTCTAAAATCGACCTTTTCCTGCCTGATGTACGTAGGTGGTCCTGTATGTGGTGCCGAATTTTGCTGGTCCTCAAAAGTCGACGTCGTCAATCGAATTAGTGCAGATCATCGTGTATCATGTATACAAATTGAGTTGCTTCCTTGAAAGAGGACACGTACGCGTTGATGAAAATTGATTATCTATACGTGTGTGGATCCAATATACGACGTGTTGGAGATTGGTGCACCCATTTTTCATGATATGCACGTGAAGCATATGATACTCTCTAAAACAAGATGATTCCTCAAGGAATTCGATAAATATCTGAGGGTACGATCTTCTTCTATTGTTACGTTGTGAAACCTTGTCACTACAGCAGAATTGTTCATGGTCGTTGGACCAAAAGTCACTTAGTACGGGAGCTCTCTAAACACTCCATGGCTCTTAGACTGCTCGCCAGCAGTAATTTGAGTCGAATAATGGGAAAAAAGACTTATAGGTTTAGGGTTTAGGGTTGAACGCTAAGTTGCTCGCCATGCTAGTGAAGGTTTATGCTGAAATGTTTTACGCTTCTCTTATAAACCACTCTTTCTAGCATTCTTTCCGCAAAAAAAATGGTGTAGCATTCTCTTCCTGCCAAACGCTGTCGTCCGTATGCTGACACCAAACATGCGACGGCTGCGCCATTAGAAGCAGCTCCGCAGGCGAGTTTCCCTCCATTGGAGTTTCCCGCGCGCCCGTTCCCACATTCAAGCTTTAGCGCCATTGCCTGTCGTCTATTCGCCTATGAAGGCAACAACACTTCTATTAGCGACGACCACCACTCCTCCCCCTTAGCCTCAGCATCACCCCTCTCCCGTGGCACGCTCAAAGTAGAACACCTGCGGTATACTGCCATGAGTGAACTCTTGTAGCAGTTGTACATACTCCCTCTGTTTTAAAATAAATGTTTCAAGTTTGTACTAACTTGTCGTAGATATGGTAGTTAGTGCCGCCGGTGGGTGGGTCGTCCTGTTCTAGAGAGGAGAATTCGTACTTGTGCATCATGATGCGTTACTGGTCCTGTACGTAGTGCCGAATTTCGCTGGTCCCTCAAAAGTGGACGTCCTCAATCACATTTGCGTAGATCTATATACGCGATTACGTGTCTTGGAATCTTGACGATTATCATCGTGTATCATGCATGTATGTCGTGAATCAAAAGCACTGCTTTGTACAAAAGCTAGCTCGTTCTCCGTGGGAACCAGCCTACTAGAATTTGAAATCTGGGCACTGAGGTACGTGTATCATTGCTCGGCACCTCAGATGAAGCAGAAGCAGTTCACACGAAACCAAATATTTCCTCCATTCCCTTATACAAGGCCACTATAAAAATACATTTTGTATCTATATAAGGTCACTAACAGTAATTAAGGCAAAATTTAATAATGTTTCCTCGTACTAGCAACTTGTTTAATACTTGCATGCATGTAGTCATAATGACATTGTGCTACTTCTCATTTCTTCCTTGCATGCATGCAGGTGTATTAATAATTCTGGTTAACAAGAAGAAAGTTGGCTTGCAAAGTAGTCATTAAATTTTATATTGGTACCTGTAATTTGAGTTTGTGACTTTGTATAAAAGAATGGAGGGAGTACTTACTTGGTTTATCAGGTTCTTCCAACGTCTTTTGCTAGAATCTTTTACACTTCTCTATTAGACCAACGCTCACATACATTCACACTAACGCTCATATACATGCACACCTATGACTGCACGCATATCTTACCGTTATGAGAAGATCATTCTCATACTAAAAGAACAATGTCGAATAATTAGAATAAATCCAGGAAATTTCGAACATTGTGGCAAGTTTAGTATTTGAACCCAAAAAGACGAATTCCACCACAAGGAACCTAACAAGTTGAGCTAGACTCAGTTCATAGTTGCCTTATGTTTGACTAGCACATATGCCCGTGCCTTGCAACAGAAGAGATAATTGATGTGTCCAACAAAAGGCCTCCTCAACGATGGACGACAGAGCGAGGAGCCACGATCTTCTTGCAAGTCATGTGTGGCCGACAAGTTCTTGGTGGTTGTGGGAATGGTCAGCTTGTTAGCGGACACCAAACTTGAGCCTACCTTTTTTTTTCCTACGAGTCCACCTCCATCTCGGCAGTGTTCCCTATGTTGCTGCTCGCGGATCCGGGAGGTTGTATAGTGGTGATCCGGCCGGTTGTGGTTGCCTCCTCATTTGGTGATAGCACCAGCGACCTTCGGGGCACGGTTTCGAGCTAGGTTTTGTGGAAGATGGTGAGCAGGTCCGACTCTCTTCTCCGACGGTGTTCGGCGAAGACTTCCAGTTTGCCGTCCGGCGAGCACGGGCATGATCCGGGGCCGACGATTCATAGAGTTCGGCCTCGTCAATCTGCGATGAGCCACTCAATCGGTTCACAACGCTGCTCCAACTATGCTGGTACGGCGGACATGGTGTGTTGGGTTGCTTCTCTTCCCTGTATTCAATGTCGAGCTTTGAAGAAGATGTGTGCAGGGCGTTCAAAGAATTTATTACTTATTATTTTGTTTTTCCATAGGTCTTTTGCGCATAGTTTCTAACACACCTGTGTTTCCGGGTCATTTTGTCTGAGTTTTGTGTGTATGCGCTACATTTGCTCTATGCAATTAATATGTGTTTTTTTTAATCCATCCATCCATGAACCCGGAGTCCTGTTGTGTGCCTAAGATAGTTTTGGTATGATTTTTGTACCACAATTATGATCAATCCATCCATCCATCTATGAGCACGCAGTCCCGTTAATTGTTGGACACCCGGATGAATTAATTGCGGCATATAATCCAGCATATTCCGTTTTTAAGAGTTAATTAACCCGTCATGCACCATTCCGCATTATAGAGAGCCAAGTAGCCATGTACTTCCTCTGTTTCTAAATATAAGTCTTTTTAGAGGTTTCAAACGGACTATAACATATGGATGTATATAGAAATATTTTAGAGTGTAGATTCACTCATTTTGCTCCGTATGTAGTCCCTTGTTGAAATCTCTAAAAAGATCTTATATTTCGGAACGGTGGGAGTAAAAATGAATGCCGCATGCAAAGCCCTCTCTTTGAAGGCTCTCTTTCCTTTAGAGAATCCCGCAATTTTCTCTACCCAGAGTATTCCTCTCTTTCTAAGGCTCTCTTTTCTTTATACGAGCCCACATTTTCCTTTATTTTAGCCAAGATATCCTATTTATTTTGGCACGTACGTGCTCACATATATCATTTGAACCGAGGTGGGACAATTGCTAAGGCAACTGCTAGCTAGCTTAGTTGGATTTGTCTTTCAACATAAGAACTGCAGGTCCCAGGTTCGATCCCTCTTGCATCTTAATAATTAATTTTGTTGCTTGTCCATCCCATAAAAATGGTAGGCCCATCAAATGTAGGCCCAGGCGGCCGATCTAAGCGTGCTTGCGTGATCGGGAACTTTTTAAAGTCAGGAAGGAACATACATGCACTTTTAAATCTCGTCCGTCAATCTTGATGATTAACATAAAATCAACGAATAGAAACATGTGACCTATGGAGAACTATGAAAGGTTCCTCCCTTTAATATTAGGTAAATATAAAGATAGTACTATGATAGGCCATCACATGTTACGCTGCATAACCAACGATTAAAAGGGCAGTATACGTTCTTCAAAAAGAAGTGGGTAGGTGGGTGGGGGAAGAGGGGGTATCTCTTATGGATGGAAATGATAGGTGTAATTGGGCTATCTTAGTTGTCCAACCCACTAATTTTAGTATTGTAATGTAAATAATGTAGTGGTATACCGGAAAAAGGAGGTGTACACTAACCCCTAATAGATTTACATGATGGGATGTGTCTATGTACACTTACAGGGGAAGGGGAAGGTCAATGAGATAATGATCGACCTTATTTGACATATTGGCTCCAAGTCATGGGGAGAGTTCCTCCGGTGTACCCTTTTTAAATGTCTATAGAAGTGGTTAAAATTATGAAAAAAAAAACAATGTCCACTAATGATACATGCATCTATCATATAAAAAATCTTAATCCAAACTCAATATGAAGTTTGAGACACTAAAAGAAATTTTTTTGTGTTTAATAATGTTAATGTGATGAATTCATAGCCCAATTCAAACTAACTTTGTCCCCCTTTACTTATGGATGTATTCTCAATTTGGATTTGAAATTTTGTATCTTGATGGATATATATTGTGTCTTTGCTAATGTCAATCAATTTTCTCATACATGGTGAGGCCTTTGTTGTTTATCATCCAAGGTAATATCAGGTTTGTGAGTACCCTTGGTTCTTAGAATTCCCTTGCATTTTTGCCTGTCTTGGAATCATTAAAGAATATTGAAGCTTTGCTCGTGAAGGATGTGCTATATCCACATGATGAGAAGATGCGGGAGTCCTTATGTATACATCAAAGTCGGAAAAATGTTTTTATGTAGTCAAATCAGGGTTCAATTGTGCATAATTTAAACTTCATGTGAGGGTACTTTATTTTGATTTTGTTTCACAAAATATTGTTTTCTTTTTTATATTAAATAATCAGTTAATGTTATTTCTTTGTACTGCAAGGCTGTTTTTCAAATAAATGTTTTTACTTAACTCATTTTACAAAACAATCTCCAAAAAAATTCTCCCAAACAATGTTACCAAATCAGGTAACATATTCCGTAAATTCATACTTATCATAGCAAACAATATTCATAAAGTTCTAAACAAGTATATACTTTTCTTCGCTGTTCACATCCTCATACGATGCTCTTATCCGCAAAAAAAAACTAATGCATATTCATTTATTTATATC